ATTCTAGACTGATGAAGTAGATTACTATATAATTTCACTGTCAATGACTGGCATGCAGAAACTCTTTCAGAGCATTTCATATGTATTGACAGAGATCTGTGTAATATTCATAGTCTTGTAAATATTATCTTCATGGATTTGATTATGATTAGAGAATATTAAACTTCTGTTTTAAGTATTTAATAAGATGTCTTATTCAGATAGTCAGACAAGTTCTAATATAAGATTATAGTCAATATTATTAACTTTATATGTATAAGTAACTTCATATTGATGTTCTCTGACATCTATACTTAGTTTTATCATGTAACAGATGCAGACATCTTTTGAATTATTAAATTCTGTGAGAAGTCAGAGTCTTGATAAGAGAATACACTGAAGATTGTGATTCAAAGATTGCTTGAGCCAGTGTACAATTACAGGCGTATGCTGGCTTCTTATATATGTTATCTAAATTAATTAGTGCCCGCTAGGGCCTCTTTACATTCATAAGCAGCCGCATTATTATTCAGTGATTGTATGTTCTTTCAAATCACATTCTCTCTCATCAGATTCAGTCACACTCATGTGACTATGATGTAAGCCCTAGCCTCATGCGGATTAGCGCGCCGCTAGCATTTATGATTGTACAGTCTATTTCTGATTCAGCTAGTATCTCTCATACATTCTCACAAACAAACTTTCACTATATTACATTACTCATTTACTAACTTTTTTCATTCTTCAATCATCTTCTTCATCATTATCATCATTGAACATCATTATCTTATTCAAGATTTCTGCTTCTTCTTCTATTTAACATCTTCTATCTGTTCATCTATCACATTATACACATTTCTGACAATAATCTCTTATTCTCATAATAAGTATTACTGTAGTGCTCATACCAGGCAGTTTATTAGCAGTAAGTGTGATATATTATGAAACATAACTGAGACTTGTTTATCTTCTAATGATCATCAGAATGTATTACTATAAATAACACATCTTCTTCATCTTCTTATACACTCTCAATTATTTTTCTTCTCAGCAGACTTCTGATTGTGTCTTCTGACACAATTTTACATGAATGTAGATACTAATATGTTTGTTTTTATTCATATAGAATCTTTATTCATTGACAGATTTATATTCACTGATGATAGTGAACTCAATATTGAATTATTGATTCAGAACTTGAAAAATATGATAATAAAGAACTTGTCTGTATCATGTATGACTGAGTCTCTTGCATTCTTCTCTATCTCTTCTGTCACTATTTCTTCCTCTGCTGATCTCTCTTAATCTTCTACTCTTATCCCTGTTTCTGATTCTTCTGCTTCTGCTACCTCTGTTTCTGTAATCTTCACTCTCACTACTTCTGCTCTCTCTGTCTCTGCCACTGCTTCTGCTTTGATTATCAGCTCTCCCTGTTACAAGAAGATGTTGTATAGACTTGATGAATCATGTTTCTCAGTATGTATGCTTCTGTTCTTCTTACTGATCTCTAGAATGATCTATTGTACAAAGACTGTGTATAACATAACTATTTGAAGCTCAGTCATGAATACTGATTATTATATTCATTTCAAATATTTATAATGAGATAATTGTTTATTTATACTGAAGAATCACTCTTCTCTTCAACAGTATTGAAATTGTAAGTCTTTTCTTTTTTCTCTTCTCTTCTAACACTGATTTTTCTAGAAGAAATTGTTATAGATTTTATTATATATGAAGTTGTGATATTTATAAATATTAAGAAACTTTTTATAACTGTAAAGTTCAATATTATGAGTACATTCACTCTGATAAATTTCTTTGAAATGATATATCTGTATCAGTCTATTCTCTGGCATCTGTCATCTGACTTTGTAATGCAGACAAAAGATATCTGTGTTTTCAGAAACAGAAATACAGATGTTATACTCTTTTACATCTGCAGACATGAGACTTGTACATCTTATCTGAAATATTATCATAAGAATAAGCTGTTTGCATGCTGCATTCTGCTTTCTGTATTTCTCTATATTCTTCTCTCTCTTTCTGAGAAGTGTCATGCATGTTGTAATTATATATACAACTCTAAGATCAGTGAGTGTTTATTCAGTAACTGTTCTCATCTCTGATTTTACAGTTTTCATATACTAATAATGATTCTTAGTTACTCTGATGTCAGAGGCTATTCTAATTAAAGATAATTACACTGCTGAGACTACTCTCTTTTACTCTCAAGCTTCTTCTGTCACTTTCTCTCTCTTCTCTGCAGAGAAGGTTGTGTATAAATCAGGTTATAAGTGTTTAATCTCAGATGACTTCTGCTGTTATTTATCTGATTCTACACTCTCTTCTTCTTCTATTTCTTCTGTCTTCACTCTCTCTGTCTTAGCTTCTGGTTCTGTGAGTCTCATACTCTTCTTCAATTTTTCTACATGTATGTGTGCATATTTCTATATTAGCATTTCAGTCAATCTTGCAATAAATGATATTAATGTTATACACAGAGTGATAGAGAAATTGATGATATGTATAATATTGTTACAAGAGCAGCTTACAGCTCTTGAATTTCTTACAGATCTCAAGTTTTAAGATTTTCTTTGTTTTTGAGATTTTTCAGATGATGTAATGTTGAAAATAGATTAAATGTGTAACATATGAAAATGAATGAAGTGTGTATAATAACATTTATCTTTTACAGCTAATTCTTACAGTTGATAATCAATTCATTATCTCTTCTCTTTTCTTACACTTTTTCTTTATCTGCTAGTCACTACTCTTACACAATCTCTATATAATACAGTGTTCAGTGACTAGGTTCAGCAGCTTTCATCTCTTGTGATTCTATCTCATATATTATACTGTCTCTCTTCACTCATTCAGACTACTACAGTGAACAGCTTATTAAAACTACTCTTATCTGATCTCTGAGTGTCTTCAGAAGTTGAGATAACTTGATCTCACACATCTGTGAATATTTCAGATACTTTATTCTCTGTTATCTTTATAATTGAACTGATGTAAACAGTTGAATTCAACTCTGAATTTCTTTTTCTTCTATAATCTGACTCATATATAAGTCTGATGCTCTGAAACTGCTCTTTACTGTGTTTTACTCACTATTTACAGTGCATTATTGTATGACTGACTACAGTCTCATCACTTATTAAAGTGTGATATTCATCTGATTTCTTCATTACTTCTTATTCTTTTCTGATAATTATGAAAAGATTAGAATAAGTGAGATCATCTGATTTGTAAGTATCTATGATTTCTCTTACTTTATGAGACTTTTTAATTATAAGTCTCTTCTTTTTCAACACTGATAATAGTGCTGTGAATAATCATAATTCACTCAGATCTTGCATCTTTGTCTTTATAAGATATGAATCATTTATTAAGTTGTATAAGATCTGTTCCTCTGATTCTTTCAATGTATATGTTCTCAGAGAATGTGATTTAAGTATTTTATATAACTCAAATCATCTAGATTGAAACTTCTCAGAACTCTTATTGTGTACAAGAACTCACATTCTTATCTTAAGACTTGATTTCTTAACTAGTGAGTCTTGTATTGTTTTCAATTGAATTGCTCAGTTCAGAAGTCACTTATTAGCTTTTGTATGTGTGTGACTGATCTCTTTCAATCTTGATTTCTCATTTATAACTACTGTGTCTGTGACTGTTGCTTCTGCTGTGTCTGCAACTGCTGTTTTCTCTCTCATCTTTTTCAAAGCATTCTTTAAGATGCGCGGATGCAATTCATACAACAGGTAGAATGATGAATACTTGAAGACTGCATGCTGCTGAATACATGTGGCTAATAGTGCCTGACTGAGATATTCATCTCATAATCTTGTAGACTTGCTCACTAGATATTTCATCAGCATATTGCTCAGAATTTCATTCAAGAATTTCATCTTTCTGTTTATCTGTGAATAATATGATGTTGTTCTACAATGTCTTGTCTGTAACTGACTTATAAAATGCCTCACTGCTTCTTCTATGAGATTTACATGATTATCAGTTAGAATCTCGCATAGTATTCCATAGTTGATATAGATCTCATTATGTAGAAATTTCATCATCATCTTCTCTATCATCTCTGAAACTGCTTTCATAACTGGCCAGTCAGTAGCATAGTTAATAGCAGTGATTATTCAATGATTTTCATTTGATGTTCACAGTAATATGTCTATAAGATTCATCTCTCATCATTCAAATGATTGTATTATACTATTTATCTGATATTGTACTTTCTCACATTCTAATTCTATTCTAGATTCTTTCACAATCTGATAATTCAGACACTTGTGAGTATATATCTGAATGTTCTTGATCATGCTTGACCAGTACACTCTTGATTTAAGTATGCTCATAAGTTCAGAGCTTTCTAAGTGACTGAATTTCTTATGTATGTGAGTCATTAAGTCACATCTAAATGAATGTTTCAGATAGAGAGCTTTCACATATTCTAAATTATGATAAAGTATAATATTGTTTTGCAATTTTCTCAGCTTGAAGTTTGAAAGTATCTCTTCTATCACTTTTATAAGATGCTTATTATCTGATATCTTATTATTCTTCAAGTGAGAGATCATTATATTCACTCATTCTGATTTCTTACATTCTCTCAGTGTGTTTAATATGATGTTTTCTTATAACTGATTTACAGGACTCTTACTCATGAAATCAGGTCTGTAACTAATTGTATCGGATATTACAGTGTTCAATCTCTTTCAGTATTTAATATGAAGATTGTATACTTGAAACTCTGAGATTCAATGTACTAAGTGTTTGAAGGGTTTCATCATTGATTACAGATAGATGAGACTTTCATGATTTATAATCATCATTGTCATATGCTTGTTATTGATATATCTATCTCATAATATCAGTGTGTGCTTAATCACTAGTAATTTCTTTTTATACACTGAGTAATTAAGCTTAGCATCTGATAGTTTTCTATCATTATACATCACTGAGTGCAGCTTGCTGTTCTTACTCATCTGTAGAAGAGTGTCTCTGATATCTCATTCAGATATGTCTGTCTTGATATAGAAAGGTTTATTATGATCTGATTGAATAAGCACTGAGAATATTATCACATGTTTTCTCAGTGTGAGAAAGACCTCTTCACACACAGTATTTTAGATGATTGAATAAAACTTCTTCTTTCACAGATTTGTATCTGTTTCTCTTAAGAGATCTGAGAGTAATACAGATATTCATATGAAATTCTTGATAAATCTGCAGTAATATGAGATCAACTCAAGAAACTGTTGTATATAATGTACATTTCTCAGTCACAGTCAATTCACTATAACATTCAATTTCTTCAGAATGAGATGTATACAGTCACTACTTACTATATATTCTATGAACTTTAACTCTTCTGTTCCAAACACATACTTTGTTGATTTAGTATAGAGCTTATACTCTGTCAGAGTTGTAAGCACTTCATTGAGATGCTTCAGATGTTTATTATATAAGTTTGAGAAGACTAGAATATTATTTAGATATACAAGATATAAGGTTTCATTCTGTTTATAAAGAATCATATTCATCATCATTTGAAAGATGACAGATACATTTGTCAGATCAAATAGTATTATCAGGAATTCAAACTTCTCTCATTGTATATTAAATGCAGTTTGTGATACTGACAGTTCATCTACACAGATCTGTCAATATTCTGAGAGAAGATTGATCTTTAATAGATATTAGATGTTTTCAACTGTATTCAACTGTTATTGAATCTGTGATAATAAGTATCTGTTCTTAATTGTAAGCTTGTTAAGTGCTTAATAATTGATACATATCTGTCACTTCTCACTCATCTTTTTCACAAATAGAACTGAGAAGTCTCACATGCTTGATGAGAGTTATATCAGATCATGTTCTAGAAGATCTATGATCTGACACTTCTGTTCTTCAAGATGCATTTGTGACAGAGAGTATACATTTTAATTGACTGATTTCATGTTTTCTGTGTCAATCTCATGTATAAATTCTCATTTCAGTGACAATTTCAGTGAAAGATCTGTTCAGAAGATCTTCTTATACTTCTTCAGAAGTTTCTTCATACACTTATTCTCTCATATATTCTTTATCTTGATTTTCTTCACTTCTGAGTTATGTATAACATACAGAATGCTTTCAGATGAGATCTTATAAATCATTCTCTTTACTTATTAATATATAAGCAGATTTAACTCTTCTATATCAGAGACATGAAATGTTCTTCTCATATCAGTTGATAGAATCATATGAACTGTTTTCTTCTTGTCAGTTAACTGTATATGACATGTACATCATTGTATCTGCAGATTGAATCTTTGAAATCAATTGAGTCTGAGAATAAGGTTATATTTCATGTTCTGCAGCTCTTACACTCAAATATAGCAAGATTATTCTCTGAAGTGCAAGAGAACTCTTACTCTTGTGAGTGATACTAAATATTAATTATCAGATCATCTTATGTGTTAAGAATTATTCACTCAGCAGATCTCTTTCAGTCTTTAAATCATATAATTATCAATATATTGTGTAGAAGCTTCTGTGTTCACTAACATCTTTACAGTCATCTCTCAATTCTTATTCAAGTACTCTCTATACATTAACATTTCAGGCTTCAAGATATTGAGATGAATGTTCACTTCTTCATTCTCACTCACACTCTATTCAGAAGCCTGCTTTCTCTTGATATTCATAGAATTCAGAGAGTTATCTAACACAGATATCTCTTTCACTTTGAAGATTTTTCATAGAATATCAGTGAGTGTCTCTGAGCTCTCTGATTCTGCTAGTTTTTTAACTCTCTTGCTTCTCTTAACTGTGTATACTGTGTGCAATTCTTTACATGATGATTTTGACATCTGCAGTTGAAGCAAGCTCAATACTTATAATATCAAGGTTCTCACTCAGAGAGTCTCTTTTTCAGAGAATTCAGTGCTTTAGTGATAGCATTCAAATCTAGATTTATTATATTCAGATATGTGACTTGTGTTATAGAAGTCTGATTACTTATTCTCTGCTGAGATATACTTGATTGCAGTATTTTCTGTTGCAATTGACTTACTTATTCTTATATAATGAGAATATTGTATGCTTCTTTCACTGTGTCTGATTATAAGATTAAGCATTTTCATTTCACTCTCAACTCAGATGTAAGATCATGAATGAAGATCTGTAAATAGAAAGATGTTGAAAGCTCTTCATTCAATATAAGATAGTGTAAGCTACAGTGTGTAAAGTATGATATAAAATTACTCACTTATCTACACTCAGTGAAGCATTT